AATTAGAAAGGTTGTCAGATGGATGGATAAACAGACGGATGAATAGATGGATGGATGGACAAATGGACAGACAGACAGGTAAATAGATCTAAATCCCCAACCTGGGGATTTAAATTAAATAACCGAGCACCTGTGAAGGAGGCATCTACATTGGGCCGGGTACTGCACTAGGCAGAGTTTACAAATACAAAAAAGAGACAGTCACTGACTTGAAGGAGCTTGTCCTCTGTGAGAGAGATACAATATGCTCACAGATGAAACAGTGCAGGATCTGTACCAAAAAATACAGAGTAATGGATAAGAGGGTAGTGGTATGCTGGTAAATATTCAAAAATGGGCTCTCCCAAGATACACTTTTAACTGTTAACATTTTCTCCACTGCTTTCTTAAATCTAGACAATCAACAAAATCATAAATTAAGCCCTGATTTTCAGTGTAGATTTCTGAGGTATAAATGTTCATAATGAAAATTTAACAGTGGGCACTTGAGAGTACTTAGGAACTGGTTCCAGTATGCAACTGGGGAGAGTATTACTAACAACTAGGGGACTTAGAAAAGGCGTTTTGAAGGAGGTGGCCCTTGAGCGGAATCTTGAAGGGAACAAGAGTCTCCAAGAGGCAATGGGAAGGAGAGAGAGCATCTCAGGCAAGAGGGACAGAGGCAGGGAATGGGACATATGGGAACAAAAAGAAGGGCCATTTGACAGTGTACATGATGGGAGGGAAATAATGTATAATTAGCCTGGAAAGATATTCCAGAGCCCAGTAGTGAAGAAAATTCCAGAGCTTGTATTTTGTGAAAATTCTATTAATTGTGAAGAAAACTCTAGAGCCTAAAGGTGATGGGGAGTCACTGGAGTTTCTTGATCACAGAAGAGACATGGTCAGACCTGCGTTTTAGGATTATCATTGTAGATGCTAGATGGAGGATGGAGAATGCTACAGAGAGGAGAGATACTGGGATTGGGGAGATCATTTAGGAGGCGATTGCAATAGTCCTAGAAAGAGGTGATGAGGGGCTGGACTAGGATGGTTACAGTATAAATAGAGAAAAAGGAATGAATGTGAGAGATGTTTCGGAGGTAGAATGTACAAGAGTTGGATGTAGGATGGGAGGGGTGAGTGAGAGCAAAGGGTTAAAGATCACTCTTAGGTTATAAACTCAGGTGACTAGAAGAATGATGATGCCCTTGATAATTATAGGGAAGTTAAAGAGGAGAGGTGGGTTTAAGAGAAAGATGATGAGTTTTATGTCAGATATGTTGAGCCTAAGGCTTTTGTGGAGATGTCCAGGAGACAATTGTAGATGTGGGACTAGAATTTATCATGCCAAGAGATGGTAGTTAAATCCATTGGTGCTCATGAAAGGGGATAAACAGAAAAAGAAGAGACAGACAGAGACAGAGAGAGAAGGGAAGCCAAGACAAACATTTAAAGAGCAAGAGTCAGCACAGTGTAAAACATTGGCCTTGGAGTCCCAAATACCTGAGTTCAAGTCTTGATTCTTTCACTACTAGCTCGTTCTTTCTGGGCAAGTCACTTATCCAAGGAAATTCACTAAAACAACAAGGCATTTCATTTTAGCCAACTCTCCCAATATATTGCCTCCCACTTTCACAGTCCTTTTATCAAAATTGTTAATAAAGTTAAAAAAATGGAAAAAGGCTGAGCTAAGAGCTTTTTGGGCAGCTAAGTGATGCAGTGGATAGAGTGCCAGGCTGAGTGAGGTTAGAAAGATTCATCTCCTAGAGTTCAAATCTGGCCTCAGACACTTACTACCTGTGTGACCGTGGGCAAGTCACTTAACCCTGTTTGTCTCAGTTTCTTCATCTGTAAAATGAGCTGGGGAAGGAAGTGGCAAACTGCTCTAGTACCTTTGTCAAAGAAAACCCCCAAAGGAGTCATGAAGACTCACACAAGACTGAAAATGACTAAACAACAAAAAGTGCTTTTCACATCATAGCTTAATATATGATTGTTGAGTAAGTGGATGAGTGAATAAATGAATTGATGAATGAATGAATTGTAGCTGGATAATCCCACAAATTAAGTAAACAAGATTAGAGTGAGGTGAGAAAATCCAGTACCACCCACTGGACCACTGGAACTATTTGCAGAATTACCCTGTAAACTGGAAAGCAAAAAGTTCCTTCTGTTTGGCAAGAGATGGTAAATGATGATGGGGGAGGATTTTAATGTCTGAGCCTATTATATTGGAAAAGTGATTTGTGACCATTTCATACCAAATTTTCAGAATCAAAACAGACAGGATGCCAAAGCAGAAGGCAACTCCTAGCATTAGTTCCTGACTGGCGTGAGGTCCTTTAGGTGGAAAGCCAAAAGATTTTCCCAGTCCACCTTCTCCACTGAAGTTCTCAAGGCAACATTTCCTTTTGCCAAGGCAAGTCTTGTTTCAGAAATGAAATCCAAACTAGAGAAATATGCTATATCTCCTTCATCCTCTCCCTTTCACCGGAATGACATCAAAGCAATGATTCTCTTTTTCTCCTTCTGTCTCTCTGCCTCTCTCTCCCTCTCTTTTTCTCCCTCCCTCCATCTGTCTCTGTCTCTGTCTCTGTCTCTTTCTCTCTCTCTCTGGCGTAGTGCATAAAACAATGCACTCAGCAAGTAAAACCTGAGTTTGAATCCTCCCTTATGACATTTGCTAGGTGAGTGACCACAGTTAAGTCATTTAACCACTCTTTCAACCTCCACTTCTTCATCTAGGGATACTTCAGGAGGGGAAACAATACCTATCTATCATAAGCTTGTTGTGAGAATCAAATGACATCACATTTAGAGCTTTTTGCAAACTTTAAAGTGATATATACATTTTAGCTGTCATTATTGTTATTATTCAAAAGTAGCAAGGTGGACAGTGGCCTCAAGCCTACCTCAAGTAGCCTCAGAACCTGTTTGTTTCTTAAGCTTCTCGATAAATGTTTCTGGCTTATACCAAATTGAGGCAGGCACAGCCCTCAACAGTATTTATAGGGAGCCTCTCCAGGGCCCTGCTATAATTAGAAGTCAATTAAATTAGAAGCCATTCATATTATGCTTGGAAGGCCTCCGGCACACTTGGGCTTTCTGGGGGGGAGCCTCTCTGCCTCTTCTACCAGCTCAATAGAAACCCAAATGAGCTATCCACTAGGTCTTTGAGGGAAAGGAACAACATTTAGGGAGGGCCTATTCTGAGAGAGGAGGGATTCTATCCCTTTCCACTGGGATCTCTTTTTGCTATTGCTCCTGTTTTCATCTCTCCCACTCTCCCCTTCCCCATGCCTCCACTGCCTTCACCCCACCCCTAACCGCTCCTCTCCCCTCCCCCTCCAGGAGCCATTTCCTAAAGAACTGAAGGTACTTCACCACTCTAGCCTTTCCCCTGAGCTTCCTGCCCTGACCTGCTCCATTGCTGCAAGGCAAACATACAGTGAGTTCACTGCTGGGGTGGCAGGGTGCTTTAATCTTGTCTCACTCTATTTAGTGTTTAGAAATGTAAACTTTGGGGCTCTCTAAGTTAATTTAATAGTGTTCAGACTGTGCTCTAGAAAGGAACAGCAACCAATAATTAGAATCTTTCTGGGAGGTTTTAAGATAAGGACTTTTAACCTGGGGTTCATGGACCACCCTTCTAAGAGGTCTATCGATAGATTTCTATGAGGAGGTCTGTGAACTTGGATGGGAAAAAATGAAATACATCTTTAATTTTTACTGATCTTTTTATGTATTTTATTTTATGCATTTAAAAACATTACTGTGAGAAGGGGTTCATGACATAAAAAAGGTTAAAAACACCTGATCTAGGAGAATCTGGAACTCTTTACAAGATATATCATAGGACCATCACTGTGATTGCTAGGATCAAATGTTATAGTCACATATCACAGCCAGGATGTTTAATTTGTGAAACCCCTGGAGCAATGCCTCAACTGCCCATCTATACTTTTAAATGGGATCTCCTTTATCCCAGGAGCTATTGAAGGGAGGGCACGGAGAGTGACCTTCCTTAGCAGCTATAATCTCTGCCTACTCAATCATCATCAGTTATTATTCCAAGTTAAAGGAAAAATGTCCTTTTAAAGTTCTGCTCATGTTTTAGTGGTGATTGACTTGTGAAAACCAAGAATTGAGAGCCTAGTGTTTCGGATGCTTTATTGAACCATGAGTAACTTGTCTTTTAGAGAAAAGGATCACAGATGTGACATGTAGAAGTTTAGAGAGGGAATGGAAGGGGTTAGACCAAGTGAACTCCAAAGTCTCTTCCAAATCTTTAATATTTTATGAAACATAGACCTTAGGCCACATCTCTTCCTGCTGCTGTAATCATAATGGAGGTGAGCAGTGGTAGCAGGTGAAGTTCTCATCCTGGGTGTTGTGTCAGAGCCTCACCTTGCTGAGGGGCCCAGAGGCCAGGATGGGGCCTAATAGAGCAGCAAATGTTTAGTGCTTAGGAAAAGACTTGAAGTTTTCAAAGCCCATTCCACATATTAAACAATTAGTCACTAACCATAAGGTTTTATAACAAATTCTTCAGTGTTCTCCAAGGTTCTTTTTTTTTCTCTGGGATTTACTCCCATGAGTGGGTGCACTGCTGGGTTAGGGCCACAGAATCAGCCCCAAGGTAGGAGGGAACGGGATTTAGTTTGAATACAGCTTTTCTTTTTTGGTGTGCATTGTTTATCCTTCTGTTTAGTTAGGGCTACATAATAGCTTCATGGTCCATATACTTACAGTAACCTACCTTTTTCTTAAAGGCAATCTTATTCACCAGGTTGGCAGGAGGAGAGAGCATTCATTTATTCATTCATTCATTCAACAAATATTTATCAAGACTCAACTCTGTCCAAGGGTACTGTGCTAGGCATATCTCCAGGGGGAGCAAAGTTAGTTCCTGGAAGAAAAACACTGAGCTTTGTATTTAAAATAGGGGCAAAGTGTCCTGGCAAAGCAGGGTCTTCTAACAATTTTGTGTTTGTGCCTCCCCTACATTGTCTTTTCAGGTGAATATCTCAGAAAATATGGCCCATGTGAGGGACTATAAATGGACTCATTTCCTTTCCTTTCTGGTGGTGAGTATGTCTCATCTCTAAAATTAGATTTCTTCTTGACTATTTCAATTCACTCCTTCCTCTGCTCAGTTTAAATAGCTTCATATTTTGGTGCAGAGAAGATTGATTGTAAATAAGTTTTATGAATCTATAGATTTTAGCCTTTTTCTTCACCTATTCCCAAACCACCAAATGTGGAAGAATCAGTTGGTATGAGAGGTTAGGTAAATCATCCTTTCACACATGTACACATATACAGGGTGTATGGCTACCTAGCTGTGGCTTGTTTTTCTGTGAGTGCCTAGGCTACAGACTAGCATTCACCTAAATAGACCTGGGCCACATTGGGGTGGAGGCTAGGGCACAGGAAGAAGCCAAGGTGGGAATTTCCCATCAAATAGCTGTATATCAAAGTAACTCACAGGATGGGTAAGGCTAGAGCTGGTCATTGGGCTCTACCATTTATACATACAAAGGGGAGAAGGACCCTTATAACTACAAAGTTAATAAATGTTAGTCTAGCTAATGAGCAGTCATGTGCCTAAAACTGTGTGTTTATACCTTGTGTGTATATGTGTATTTGTCCTTACATATTATCTAAGCTTACCAAAAAGGACCAACCAGGAAAAAAAAAAATTCTGCAAGGGAGAGAGTAAGGGAAAATAAAAAAGTAGTAGGGAAAAATGTTCTTAATTTCACAGAAAGGAAAAAAGTCACAATTAAGTTATTACTGAGAATTCCCTTTGTTAAAAGCACTGTTATTTCATCTAATCACGACTTTAGAGCTGGAAGGGACCTTAGTTTCCTTCCCCCCAATTTAGTTTCATCCTCTCAGTTTACAGATGAGGAAACTGAGGCCCCAAGAACTTAAGTGATTTGCCCAGAAGTCATACAGGTAATATATAGCCAAGCCAGAACTTGAATCCAGGTCCTTAGACTAAAATCCAGAGTTCTTTCCGTTGAGTGGATAACTACCTTTTGTAGATAATTCAATTCAATAAATATTTATTGGATCAAATGATATAATGATCAATAATATATGATCAAATGATATAATATATATGAATGGTTTTGTAAACCTTAATGCCCATCCTCATCATCGTTACTATTATTATAATTATTGTTGTTATTGTTATTATGTACCTATATGAACTGGTCCGAAGTCATTAGGAAATAAACTGTTACACAACGAAAAGTGACTAAGACCCCTTAGTGGTAACCATGTTGGAAGAAAAATTATGAAAGTGAGCTCATAAACTGAATAAATACTCTACTGAATGGGTCCCTTCTAAATACAAAAATACTTATACACGCCACCCCACCCTTGCTTCCTCTTCTACCATCACAATAGGAGCTATGGAATACTTAAAGACTGCTCCCCTTCTGAAAGGAAATCTTAGCTCTCTAAGTGCTTATCATTGGGCAAAAGTCCAGTGTTTAAAATGAGTCAAGGAAGGCCAATGTGGATTCCTATTCTTGGTGACAGGTATCTCTGATGTACCCAGCCAGTGCTGAGTATTCAAACTGTGGAGAGAATGAGTATTACAACCAGACCACAGGGATGTGCCATGATTGCCCCCAGTGTGAGCCTGGAGAAGAACCATATATGGTAAGTCCTAAATTTGTCACTTTAACCAGGTTGTTTCCCAAAGCAGATTAGCAGACTAGATCAATCCTGGGTGAACACAAAATACCAAATCCAAGGGTGATAGAGGAAAGATGTGTTAACTTGATGTGAAGATTCCAAAACATGGATGGATCTCTGCTTCATATTCACATGGCTTGGATACATTTTATCTTCCTCAATGACTAGACATTGAGATTGGATAGTGTAATCTCCTGTGATAGACCCTACACTTAGGAGGATGAGGACCACTGACATCTTCTTCCAGCTTGATTAAACATATTTCAAGTAATCTTCACCAAGTATAGCAGGAATTCATTAAAAAAGGGTATCTGATCACAGGTTCTGCATCTGTTTACTTTGGGTGGAAAGTCCACAACATGTAACTCTGTCAGAAACGTAAAACTCTTAGAAAACCAAAAGAAACAAACAAAACCTTTCAAAGGCTCATGTCATAAGATCATAGATTAAGAGCTAAAGAGACTTCCAAGGTCCTCCAATGTCATTAAGTCAATCAATGACCTCCAAGGTCATTAAGTCAATCAACATTTATTAAGCACCTACTATGTGTCAGGCACTGTATTTTTTGTGCATATACTGTACATTCTTTTTTTTTTTGTAAAAAGAGGCAAAAAAGAAAAGTCCCAGACCTCACAATCTAATGGGAAAAATGACAAGCAAACAAATATTTACAAACAAGCTATATGCAGAACAAATGGGAAATAACGAACAGAAAGAAGGTACTAGAATTAAGATAGGAAGATTTCCTATAAGAGATGGGATTTTAGTCAGTATTTAAAACAAGCCACTAGGCAGAGATGAGGAGGGAGAATGTTCCAGGCATGGGGACAAGCCAGAGAAATTAGTCCAAGCCTCCCTCTCATTTTACAGCTGAGGAAACTAAAGCCCAGAGAGGTTTAAGTGACTCACCCTTGATCACACAAGTTGTAAATGACAAGACTTAGAGCAGCATAAGATTTAGGGCAGAGGTAGGATTTGAACCCTAGTCCTCTAACTCTCAATCCAGTCCTCTTTCCATTGTACTTTAACCTCACAGGCAAATGCCAAAAAATCAGGTGCCAGTACCCAACTTTACTAATAATTACTACTGTATTCCCCTTCTGGTTCCCTTTCCTCTCGTTTGGTACTTACGGTAGAGCTCAGATTTGCTCCTTGACCGTACTTGGGTGAGTGCAGGCTGGCTGAGCCAGAAGCCTAATTGTTTGGCTATTGAGCAACTGCATTATCTGGCATTATGAGGAATAGAGTGCCAAGCAGTGATAAATAGAGACAGTATCTAACAACCCACATCAGTGTCCCATAGCCAAGCCAAATGCCAATGGTGAACTTAGAGGCACAACCTGTTAACCCTATTCACAGGCACAAGCTGGGGCCCAGCATACCTCAGGGGCTAAAGTAGGCTGAAAATAGCAAGATTTTGTAAGATGTAGATGATGATATTAGCACCACGTGGTTCTTGCACTGACAGGGTTGTTGTGAGGACTAAATGAGATGATGTTTGAAAACCTTAGAGCACGATATAAATCCTAGTTATTGTTATTGTTAATGCTATTAATAATAAATAAAAAGATGGAACAAAACAAAAGACATGGGCATCCCAGAGATTCAATGATAAAGTTAACCAGATTTTCCAGGTTTAATTCAGCTTTTTCTCCCAGTGCTCCTCTCCTTCACTTTGCCAAAAACAAACAAACAAACAAAAAAGCTTAGAGGAAGTCTTCAAACTTACTAATGTTTATGGGAAAAGGTGATGTAAATTTTAAAATACAATACCTTCCCATAGGAAAAAATTGTTATAAATGGGGTTTTATTCATGTCCAATTTTTTATAGAAATAAACAAGAAAACACCAATTTATTTAGCTAAAAATTATATAGCAGTGACAGGTATTGTGACATAGTGGAAAGAGAGTCAGCTTGAGGTCGGGAAGACATAGATTCTAGTCCTGCCTCTAGTACATGTTGTCTGTGGAACCAGGGGTACATCCCTCTCAGTACCACAAGGAGCTCTCCAAAAGTATAAAGTACGAGGTAATTGCCCATCTACATTGGTAGAGGGAGTTTACACATTAGAAGTGCCCTATACTAATGAAATCACAGGTACAAACAAAAAACCCATAACTGTAAAAGATGTTTTCCTATATGTGCATAAATCTATTAAGTAGAGCAATAAATTAACAAATCACATATATTTTATTTAACTTTTTATTTGAGACTCGAGCAAAAGAACTTGCCCCAGAAATTGGGAGCCAGAGGGACCTCTGGGACTCTTTAGAGGGACTGTGGCCATGGCCGAAAGCTAGAGAGATTCAGGAGCTACTAGCTAGGCGAAAGGAAGAAAGGCTGCATTAGATGGAGAACCTGAGGGTTCATGCCCCAGAGCATGGCAGCAAGCAGACTAACAGGTAGGATATCTGCAGCCTGCTGTTGATGCCAGAAGGAGGGGGCAAGCATCAGGGGTTTCTTGGTACTATTTTAAGTAGAAGCCTTGCACTCTGAGGACTTCCTGGATTTTCTTTTTGTTACAGACCTGTGGCTATGGCACCAAAGACGATGACTATGGCTGTGTCCCCTGCCCCTCAGAAAAGTTCTCCAAAGGAGGCTACCAGATATGCAGGCGTCACAGGGACTGTGAAGGCTTCTTTCGAGCCACTGTCTTGACTCCGGGTGACATGGAGAATGATGCAGAATGTGGGCCCTGTCTCCCTGGGTAAGGACTAAATGTTATTGGTTCTCCTTTCCTTTTCTAGAGAAAAGCTTGAGTTCTGTATAAGAGAAGCACTCCAAAATGAGATATGGCACCTGTAGACTTTCCCTGATGAAAATGCAATTTTAAATGTTTTATAATGGATAATTCAGTCATTTAGAGTATTATACGAGAGGTAGTTCTACTATTAACAGCCCAATCCTGGATTCAGGAAATATGAATTCTAGTAGGGGTGACTGCTACAATCTAGCTACGTAACAGTAGGCAAGTAACAACAATTCTGTGTCTCTGTTTCCTCATCTGTAAAACTCACCTAATGCTACCTGCCCTGAGCCCTTCAGAGAAATGTCATGAGAACCAAATGGGGGAGAGGGCAGGGAGAGGAAATGCTTTGGAAAATTAAAATCATTATATGAATTCAAGGCATTATTATTGGTATTTTATAGAAGGCAGTGTTAAAAACTCTGACTCTGAAGTTTAAGGACCTAGCTTCAAATCCTACTACCGATGCTTATCACTTAACCTCCCTAGGCCTCAATTTCCTCAATTTCCTCACTTGCAAAAAGGAGGAAATTGAGCTGAATCACCCCTAAGGTCCCTTAATAGCTCCAAATCACTTATCCTGAAATGTTCAGAGGACTACTGAAAATAAAACAAAGGCTTTAACTCCACTATAATTCACTACATCACAAGGCTTTGGAGGGAAAGGTGTTGAAACATGATTTTGAAAAGTCTCCTCTTCAAAAAAAAAAAAAAAATGAAGATGTCAAGTCCTGGCCTTGGAGTAACAGCCTGAAAAGGTTGTTTCTACTATGGATGTTGTTGCTAGCACCCTCTAGTGGCCCAATATATAATAATCCTGCTATGTATGTGGTGCTTACACTTACAAATGGGGAGCACAGTTTGGTACTTCAGTAGTGGCAGGGGAGAGGAGGATTGGAATAGAGAAGAGGGAATGAGTGGAATAAAAGGGTACCGTAACTTTGGACTATAACCTTTCACAAGTGACAAGTTCTATGAGAAAAAGAAAATAGGCCCTATCATTAATTCAATTCAGTTCAATTCTATTCAACTCAACAAACATTTGTAGAGTGCCTACTGCATGTTAAAACATGGAAAATAGCCCGAGTTTAGCTTTGTTTCTGAGATGCCATAGGTCTCTACTTCAACCTGTTTTTAAAAATTGGGAAAAGCCAGGTATGGTGGTATACACCTGCAATTAAAACTGCCAGGGAAGCCAAGGTTGGCAAATCCCTTAAATTTGGGAATTCTGAGCTGTAGTAGGCTATGCCAGTAGGGCAGAAAATTTGGCATTGATATGGTGAGCCCATGGGAGCAAGGAACCACCAGCTTGACTAAGGAAGGGCCAAACAGAGCAGGTCAAAGTTCTGCACTAGTCAATAAAGGGATCTGCCCCATGAGTAGGCCCTACATTTCCAGCCTGGTCAAGATAAGGGAGAACCAATCTTTAAAAAAAATTTTTTTTAGAAAAGCAGGAGTGGAAGTGTCTGGAAAAAAATAAAACAGGCATTTAGCATATGTGATACAACAAAAGCCACCTTGATATAATAATATCCTCATAAGAATATGAGAAGAAATTGAAGGAGAGAGTAGAATGGAATCCTTAGAGCAGATGATTAAACCTTATTCTAATTCTTTAAAAATGTGTTTATATTTTCTCCCAAGATGTTTTTTTGAATATTCTTTCCATTGCCTTTACCGGTTAGCCACATTTCTATCATGGGTTAATTTCATCCACACCAACAGAAAAAGGAAGAGGCCCATTACTAAAAAATAAAAGCCAGAAATGTAGTGGGGAGCAATGGATAGAAAACTGGACTTGGAGTCAGGAACACTTGGATTCAAATCCTGCCTCAGACACTGGCTAGCTACATAACCCTGGACAAATCCCTTAACCTTTCTGTGCCAGTTTCTTCATCTGTAAAATGAAGGAAAGGGGGTGGAACTTGCTGGCCTGTAAGGTCCCTCTCAGCTCTAAAACTATGATCCTATGAGATCTACAAAGACCAGAGTTGTTAACAAAGAGGTGAAAAGTAAATCAATAATCATGAAGCTGAGAGACAGAAATTAAGTCTTAGTAAGGTTACAAATCCAGGTCTGGCATTATCGATGTTGAAACAGATGAAACCATGGAAGAATCAATCCTGTGGTGTTAGGCGCTATTTGCTTAGGGCTCTAAGCCCCACATCTACTTCTATACACACTGTAGCAAGAGCCTCTATGCCTCAACTAGGCACATGAAAGAAAATAATAACCTCTGTAGGTTATTATTAACCTATTATTAATCTATTATTAACCATAACCTATATATGTAGAAGACTTCCCTTTATGAGTTTATGACAGCCCTTTTCCCGCTCTCCAAGGCTGAAAATTAGAAAGAAAAAGAACCAGCCATAGGCACCGTTCCAGTAGTTTTCTCTATAAACCAGGTGTGCACAATACCCAACAAACAGATTCTTGCTCAGACATTATTGATCCAGATGCTGACCATCGTATCAATCCGTTTATCTGGTTGTTTTACCAGTATGAAATTATGCCCTCCAGTGCAACCAGGAAATGCTGATGGTGCAATGAGGATATAAGTAGAGCTGTAAACTTCATACTGACATAGGTTAATCTAGGAGTTTCTAGCCAAGTTTTATATGGCTGAAATCATAAAGCACCAAGGTCTCAGAAGAACTAACATTACAAATAATTAAGAGCCATAAAAAGAAGCTCCACAGGCAATAGGTATGGGCAGGCTGCTACTCATTTCCAGAAGCAGTTTGCACCTCAGAAGGAGAAAAAATATATTACTTAGGACAAGGAAAAGGAATTATGTCATAGTAAGACAGAAATTATTTGGGCAAACTGAGTCTTATTTTGGCATGCCCCCATTTAAAAAGAGAAAGAGGAAGGCTTTCAGCATATTGAGTAGATTCTTTATAGAGGATTATGGGAAAATATGGCCAAGAATTACAGAGGATGTAAAGACAAAGAAGGGCTGCAATCTATATCACTGGGAGAAGTATCTGTACCAGCAAAAGTAGACCTAATAAAATAGTGGCCATTTAACATGAGCTCCCTCTTCTCCCATTCTCTTCATCTCAAAACCCTTTGATATCATCTCCCACTATCTCCTCATTTCCCTCAATCTCTGACAAACCCTTTTCTTTGTCAAGGTCAACCCCTCTCATCCCCTTTCATCTCCTCCAGCAGATTACATTCTTTTCTCTTGCAGGAAATGGGAGTGGGAGCAGGAGAGAAAGCATAGAATCTGTTTCCAGGTTAGTTCTGAGCCAAGATACTGTTATTTAAATTAAGCCCGACCAACCCCATGGCTACTCAAACCTAAAACAATGTCCTTTAGTTCCAGCTTCTTCCTTACAACTAAGTTTTATGTCTTATGTCTTTATGTCTTCCAATATATTCCCTAAGCTGTTCTTTTAAATGTAAGGCATATTATAAATAACTACCTCCCTTCCCTTCCCTTCCCTTTTGAAATTAAATCTTTGGTCAATGTCAGATCCAAGAAAACTCCCTGAGGTGAAGGACCATTTCTCATTTTATCAGTATTTCTAGTGCTTAGCATAGCGTCTTACTCACTGTAGGCTCTTAATAAATGCTGGTTAAACTGAATAATGATGGGCCATCCCATTTCCTTATTTTACACTCTGACTTTGAAGAACTAAACTTAATCTTCCATGGCATTTTACTGGGAAGAACTGAAAAAAAAAGAATTGGCAGATTAGTTTAATTAGATTTATGAAAGGCTGTTTATCTTTCCTCAATCCACTGTGGCCATTAGGTTGTGGATCCATATTACCTTTTATTTATCTTTATAACTCCACAAGTATCTTTGGTCTTCCCTTCTTGATTGTGGTTTGGCAAAAGGCTCTTTCCTCATTCACTACAGGCTTTGCTGTGCATCAGTATGTGGCAGTGGCACTCTCTTGAACAATAGCCAGTACATGGGGCTTTCCTACCTAGAAGGACTCAGGGAGTGGACCAGGGGTTAAAAGTACAAAAAAAAAAAAAAGGAAAAGAATAAAAAAAAAAAGAAAAAGGAGGAGAGATCAGATTTCAAAACCACCTCTCAGGCATCTGCTTATGTACTAAAGATGCTCAGCTTGCTAATTTGACATGCCTTGACCCTCTACTCTTGAATGAACCTATAGAGGATGATGAAAAGAATGGAAATGCCCCAAGTGGTCATTTATATTGTTCAACATTTTTAGAAAGCTGTAGCAAGCCCCCAGGGGTGCCTATTGTAAGTTGTATTTCAACCAAGTGTGTCAAGTGAAAGGAAATCTGTGCCTTTTTGGCATAAGGGAAATTGGTCATGTAAATAAGAGAGCCAAGGGGCCATATTTAAACTGTCCATTTAGGGGTTGTATGTCTTAACAGAGATTCAGAAACTTAGAAAGGAATTTCACTGCCACACCACCAGATCCACATGCCAAGCCCTGGAAGACTTAACCCTTTTGTGCCTGAGAATCTTGCTCTGGCTCCCCCACTTATCCCACCTTTGGTGGTTGCCTCAGTCACTCATTACAGAGACTCAGGCTCTAGCCAAGTTTAACTTCACTCTCCAGCCATCTCTTCACCGGCCACCATGCTGTGTGCAGGTAACCCATGTCCCTTCCCACCCTTCCACACAGTGTTTTGTGCATAGTAAAGGCTTAATAAATGTTTTTTTTTATTCCTCCACCCCCAGAAAAAGAGAAAACTTAGAGAATGTCTAGGGAAGATTCCAAATAAGTTAGACTATACAGAGAGGTTCAGAGGATTATAAATTTAAATCTGGAAGGGTCCTGAGAAATCATCTAATCCAACTGCCTAATTTTACAAAGGAGGAAACTAACATTAAAAAGGGGTAAATGACTTGTCCATGGTCATATGGTGAGTCAGTAGCGGAGCTGAGATTTGAACCCAGATTCTCTGACCCTAAATCCAGAGCTCTTTACACTATACAATTACAGGGTCTAAGATTATTTAGCATAAACAAAATACAACTAGGTTCATTAACTAATAACTGTCAAACTCTTTGGTGGATTACTATGTAGTATGTCATTTCAAACTATTTTCCATTTCCATCAAAAACAGGTCAAGAAGAATAGAGGAAATGCTAGTCATGTTAAATATAAATAGTAGAGAATTTTCATCAATAAATACTTAAACACCGACATATGTAAGCAAGAGAAATATAGACTATCCTTCCTGGGAGTTATTTTTAAATAGCATAGATTCTCATAGGCCCAGGATGCTTTTAGGTGTGGTTTTTTCTAAGGGCAGATGGAGTACACTAAATGACATTTGAGGTCCTTTTTCAGCCCAATGATTCCGTAGTTGATCAATAGAGACATATACCTTCTTAAGTAAGTTTAAAACTTAGCTAGCATGGCCATTCTCATACAAGGCAAGACTTGTTGCTCCCAACAGGGAGACCCATTCCAAATACAAAGAGTAAACAATTCCCAAGGTGACTAAAGAGCAAACAATTCACCAAGGTAACTAAGGGCCTCGAATCTGCTTTTATATATGGATTGGTTGGAGGAACTCAGTATGGTTGACCTGACAAAGAGACAAACTGAAGAACGTGGTAGCTGTCTCCATGTGTTTGAAGGGTTGACATGAGGAATGGAAATTTAACATTTTCTTTTGGGTCTCAGAGGGCTGAAGTTGCAAAAAGGCAAAATTGGGCTTGATATCTGGGAACAACTTCCTAACAAAACTATCCCAAAGTGGAACGAGCTGTTTCCGGAAATAGTGTGTTTCCCCTCATTACAGTCTTCAAGCAGAATCTGCATAGACCTTCGTTATTGTGAGGCTTCGTTTTGGGTATGGGTTGGGCTGGGTGGCCGCTGAAGTGCCTTTCAATTCTAAATTCTGTGATTCTGTGTGAAAATCATCATTTTGCCTGTACTTCTTCCTGCCTCACAGGAAGAAAGATGGACACTTTCCTTTGGGAATGAGTGTTTGAGAAAGGGAGAATGGCTCCCAGCCTGTCTCTTTCCAGAAAGGGTTAAATGTAGATACCAAGACTGGTAGCTGTGCGTCATCAAAGAAATGTTTTGCATACTGATTAATTAATGTTTATGAGAAACAAAGGGATCCTAAGATTAAAAAAAAACATTGGAGAAAGGCAAAACAATTATTATAATAATGTTATTGGTAATGTTCCAAATTTATTAAGGTCTGGAGTTTAAATTCCTACACAACCACCAATGTGGAGACCAAGCTGTCAGTAATCACTGCTGTCAGCTGGATGTCTGTCTCTTTATAAAGCCAATAGGGAAAAGGGGGGAATAAAAGAAATTATTAAACAACAACAATGGAAAAATCCAATAGCAGGGAAAGATTTTTCATCTCTTGAATTGTAATAAAGGAAAATATTGGCACTCACTCTCTTTATTTAATGTACTTTTCAGATTGTGATAAATAACATTCATGATCTTCTGCTGAATGTTTATGTTTCTGGAAAACTTGTGCACACTGAGACAGGAGCCAAAGCCAGTGGTTAGAAAAGTTCTGTTGTAACAAATTCAGGCTCTAAAAGATGAGAACCCCCTGCTTTGGCACACTGAATGAATGAATGAAGGAAGGAAGGAAGGAAGGAAGGAATGAATGAAAAAGCATTTATTAAACACTTATTGTGTACCACAGAGGGAACAGGAATAGCAGGGTCAGAGATCTGTCCTACTTGTACTAGATGGAATGATCCCTTAGCCATTTGCTCTGATTCTTGGGTCTGTCTTTTGGGTGAGTCACAGCGATAGAGCAGAGCAAATGCCACTCTGGGATAAAGAACGCAAAAAGTTTTACCCTCACACTGTGATAAATTGTTGAGGTCTATGTCGTCTCCTTTCCACATTCCAGTCAAAGTTTTGCAGTTATATAGGTGTTTAAGAGTAGAAACTGCCCTCTGAGGAGGAAAAGGCTGAATTTAGATTACAGCTGGGTTGGATTTCAAGCTACCTTAAAAAACAGACCTCCAGAGACCTACATGAAGCAATTGAGCAGCTGCCTTTCTAACTCCTGCCACCATTATTGGCAGCCCAGATAAAATGGATTATCTTACTTCCAAAGGGCTCTTCTTTCCAGGTTGGAGCTGAAGCAACACTCGGTCCAGGGGCCCTGAACATAGTAGGCACTTAATAAATATTTATTATTGATGGTGATAATCAGAGCTATATTGTTAAGGCATTTCAGTCATGTATGACTCTTTGTGATCCCATTTGGGGTTTTCTTGGCAAAGATACTGGAGTGGTTTGCCATTTCCTTCTCCAGCTCATTTGACAGATGAGGAAATCGAGACAAACAGGGTTAGCCCATCAGATCTACATACACAATGCCAAACAAATCAAACAGCAAAAAGAATTCAAAAAGAGGATATTCATTCATAGGTAGAGGAAGTTCAGTTTAAGCACCTACTATGTGCACTGCAGCTTTATGTAGTGGATAGAGAACCAGCCTTGGAATCAGGAAGACATAGGTCCAATTCTGCCACACACTGGCTGTATAAACCTGGGCATGTCACAACCTCCCAGAACCCTGAGGCTACTCTCAAAGACTACTGTATTAAGCCAAAAAGTAGGTGCCAATCTGTTTTGGAGAAAATAAAAAGCATTCTTATACCAATGAAACCACAGGTCTAGTCCCCCCCTCCGCACAAAATGGACAGGTACTGTGCTAGAGGGCTGGGGATTCAAAGACAAATTTGAAAAAGCCAGTCCCCTCAAGGAGATTGAATATGTCCTGATCATAAGGAAAAATTCTGTTTCAGGGTAAGCAAAAAAGCCCCAGTTGAAACTCCTTGGGCAGAAGGTGGTTAGTTAAGCAACATTCTTGATTCACACTGTGTATGCGTGATTAACTGCTTTTGTCATGGGACTGCTGGGGGAGATGAAAGCTGGAAATAATCAGTCAAAACTGATAGGGTCATCAAATTGGCAATAAGGAGCCTGCTAAATCATAGTGATTTTATCTCTTACCATGATTGGTCACTGCTTAGCTACTCATGACTTTATGCTCGCTTACCTACATTATTTGTTTTGTCTCATCTTGTCCCTTGGTGCAGTTACTACATGCTGGAAAACAGACCAAGGAATATCTATGGAATGGTTTGCTACTCCTGCTTACTTGCACCTCCAAACACCAAAGAATGTAAGTTGTTCTTTTGGTTTCATTTTGCATCTTTAAATAAATAATAATAATAATATTAATTAATGATGATGATGATAATCATAATATAAGCAAGAATCATTTGCATTCTTTCCAAGAGAGATGACCCTGCTGCATACTCAAGAAACAGCCTTAATTAATAAGTCCTCTTTCTAAAGTTTTGGGAACTGGAGTGTGAGGATACCTGGAATAAATTAGTCCACCTAGCCATTAATTACTAGGTCAGAATCTTAGAATATTGGAACACACAGAAAATAAGAGATCATATCATCCAATCCCCTCATTTTCCAAATGAAGAAATGTACTAGCAGTTGTTTTGGGTTTTTTTGCCCCACAAAGCTGGAGAAGTCACTTTGGGGGGGGCGGGAAACTTCCTAGGAAACAAACCCAGGTACGTTAGGACAACTGTTTTATAGCTAAAAGGAATTTTTAGAGGATATCTAGTCCCACTCCTTTTTAGAGATGAGGAAACTGAAGCCCATAAATATGATTTACTTGGGCAAGTCACTTAACCTCTGTGTTCTAAGCAAGTGGTGTCAAATTCAAGTAGAAATGGGGCCACTAAACCACACAAAAGGATTTCTGCAGGCCATATGTTGACTTAGAAAACTACCATTGAGCAGTAAACTACTAAATGGTGCAGTAGATAGAGCACTAGACCTGGAGTCAAGAGGACCTGAGTTCAAATCCAGCCTCAGACACTTCTTAGCTGTGTAACACTGGGCAAGTCACTTAACTCTGATTGCCTTGAAGAAAAAAGAAAACTACATATTAACATTATATGTATTTTACTCTATTTTTATTGTCATAAATATTTTGCAATTATATTTTAATCTGGATCCACACTCAGGAATGTAGTGGGCCATGTGCAGCCCACATGCTCTAAAGCAGCTCTCTATAACTATAAGTTGCAGAGAAGGTTCTGACCTACATTGGTAGAGGAATTTTCCTTGCCTGGGAGTGCCCTCTATAATTAAATGGAAGGTCCAGTCCCTATCCAATCCCTATGGAACTGGCAACAAACTAAATATCTGGGCACCAGGAGACAAGCCAGCTTAGTGCAAAAATGGTTGAACGCTTGGGTGATGAATTTTGGGAAGGCAACAGTAATTCACAAAAGCTTCCTAAATTGATTAACAATTTAGTTTCCTCTCCTCTTGAGGGAGAAAAGTGAAAGCAACATGGTGTGTTTTTCCTGTAAGATTGCTAGTGCATGAGAAGATAAGACGACCTTTTACCATTCCTTTTCTCACAGGATGCTGCCTTATGATGGGAAGAGAATAGGAAAAGGAATAGCTTTTTTTGTTAGTAGTTTATTATTTTTGGTTTTCAAGTAACAAATACTTTTAGTCTCTTCCTCCCACAACTCTCCCAATCGAGTAAATCCAAAAAAAAAAAAAAAAAACCCAGTCTTCACTACATAGCTGCATCGTCCAGCAAAACAAATTCCCACATTGGACATGTCTTAAAATGCATGTCTCTTTCTGCATTTGAAGTTAATCACCTCTCTGTGACGAAGTGAGTGGCATATTTTGTCTCCCTTCCTTTGGATTCATGGTTTAACATTGCATTGATCAGAGTTCTAAAGTCTTGCCAAGTTATTTTTTCTGCATAACATTGTTATCATTGTAGAGACTGTTCTAATTCTGCTCACCTTGCTCTGCATGCATTTGCCAAGACCTTCCCATTTTCCTCTAAAATTCTCTCTTTCATAATTTCTTATGGTCCAATGATATTCCATTATATTCATATAACAATTTATTTATCAGTTTCCCAGGAGGAGGATACCTCATAGTTTCTGAGCTTTGGATATCAAGAAAAGAGCAGTTATAAATATATGTGTACATATAAATCCTTTTCCTCTTTCTTTTATTTCTTTGTGACTTTGGCTTAGTAGTGGTATAGTGGAAACCTTCAGACAAGAAAGAAGAAGAGAAAAAGGGGGAATATAGAAAAATATCTCTTCCTTCCCTCTGCCTTCATTATTGTGAAGCTCTATCCATGGCATTCTTCAGCAGCTTAGAATGACTGTACTCTGAATTGGTGCAGGGAGTGTCTGAAGAGTGGGCTAGAGCAACCTCTCTCTCCCACTTGGCAGGTCTTCAAAAGCAGTAAAGTAGACATACATGGTGATGATGGATTTGCTTGCTTTTTAAATCTGAGATTGTCTATGCCTCAATATGTAAATGACTACACAAATTAGGGAAAACTTTTGGGTTTCCCAGCAGGTTATCATATTGACCCATGATAAAACTGGCTACAACCACCAACCGTGCCTCAAATGGGAAAGTCAACACAATCCAACCCCAAATAACTTAGCAATAAATTTCTAATTTGACACAGTTGTAAAACACTCCCTATTTAAAAACATCTCTTCTTATCTAGAGAAGAAGAAAAATATTTTGTTTTCTTCCTGGGGGTTCATTGAATTCTTTTCAAATTTTTCCAAGTTCTGCATTTGTGTATCTTTGATGTGGATCATAAGTATTTGATGTTAGCCCTGAAAGAACAAGGCTTGATTTTAGTAAGAAGGTGAGAGTGGAAAAGAGGGCTGAATTCACTGATTCCAGAGAATTTAGACTTGTTCATTTGAATGCACATGAATTGTCCCGTGGAGTGCCTTAATTTTGATAGGCATGTCCTAAGTAGAGCAATGAAGCCAGACCTAATATTTGAAGCTTTTAAAACATGTGTAAGTTGAATATGCAATAACATATTGTTATTAAGGTTACAGTCGTGGAAGAAGGTAGAGCAGCATGATTGATAGAAATCAATCAGTGAGCATTTGTTAAGAACCTACTATGTGCTAGAAAGAGCTTCATAGGCACATGCATGCAGAGACCCAGTCCTGCTGCCAACTAATTATGTGATCCTTGAGCAAGTTATTTTACCTCTCTAGTCACCCCTAAAATGATGGGGTTTGGAGTAGATGGAGTTTGAGAGTATAGCATATGGAACTGAACACTAAACTAAATCAGGAACCCTGAGTCCTGTCCCCCTCCCTTCCAAACACATATGAAAACATGTTATATGCACCTTTCAGATGAAGCTGAAGTTATTGTTCTCTGCCTATCAATCAGGTCATGAGCTTCCCTGTCTATGTTACATCTAAATCTATAGGTCCTTTCTTTCCTAGGACTTTTTCTGAAAGATCAAGGACTTTCATAAGCACAACCGTATGAAAACCTTAAAATATTTTGCTTTAGCCATCTTCACTGAGACTTCAACTCTTTTTGTAGTTGAGTCCATTCAGGTAAGTCTTAAATGACATGGACAGCACCAAAAGTCTTTGTAATACATTCAAACCCCTCAAAGCTACCGAAAGGGCCCTAAGACTGCCAGGAAATTTGAGGAAAATAACAAAGGGGAAGGCTTATGGCTACCAATCTTAGAACACTACAGTCTCCCAAAGAATTATAATTGGGCATCCCTCGTTGGTGTAGGTGGTAGGTGTGGGAAAGCTGCAACATAAATCAAATGGAGAAGTCAATTTAGCTTATAGACTTCTTTAAAAATAGTCCTTTTCTTGGGGCTTGAAGCAAAAGAGCATAGATTCCAGTCCCTCTCTCTCTCCCTCCCTCTGGTTACCTCAACTATACCTTTCCGTCTCCAGGAAGATGCTGTCCAGTTGCCAAAGCCAGCCTGATCTAAGCAGCCTTTAGGTAACCCTTAGGTTCATGCCCTTACCTCAGTAACTGTCTCTGTTTCACAATAAGATGTACATTGTGGAAGAGTCAGTATATAGTAATTATCTGGTCCCCTTCCACTCATGATATATTTTCCTGTTTGCTAATATATGTATACACACACACACATACATATACAGGCTGTCCTAAAGTCTTAATGCAATGGTAAGCTTTTAAAGCTGAATACATACTAAAGGACATATTATATATAGTAGGCCCAACCCCACCACTGTCATCATAGAAACTTTGACCTACTCTATTTCCAACATGACCAGTTCACTTCTCCCTTAGGCAGCCTGGTGCCCCTACAGCCTGCTCCTGGGGGCTTACCATATCGCTTCTAGATTTAATAAGGACACTTGATTGGCTTTAGCCCACCTGCAGCTCAGAACTCTTGAGTCTGGCCCAGGGGTGGGGAACCTGTGGCCTGGAGGCCACCTATGGCCTTCTAGGTCCCCGGGTGCAGCCCTTGGACTGAGTCCAAGTTTTACAGAACAAATCCTTTCATCAAGGGGAACTTTAAGCAATCCACTAGCCTTAGCCTCCCCCTGTAACAGGTATTACAAGTGTCTGCCACTATGCTTGGCACCGGTTGTGTTTTTTAACTAAAACTTTGAGCAATCTTAACTACTAAGATAAAAGGAGTACTTTTTAATTCCATGACACAAGTAAGGAACTCCAGAGAAGAACCAGAGCAAAGGATGTCATCAAAGAAATTTAAGTACAAAGGCTGGTCATATGTGCTAAGAGAGGGACATCCTTGTGCTCTATTGAACATCCTTGTGAGGTCAAGAAAAATCAAGGAAGGCCACTAGCAAACTGGGTGGACTCCCATTGTCAAATTTACAGGGTACATGGACAAGGGTGAGACTATGGGCAGCCATGGATGGGCTGAGATCTGCATCATTGGAGGGAACATCCCTATCTATGAGAACCCAGATCCATCTGAGGATATCTTAGGTGGACATCAGTCCCTTTTCAACATTTAAATGAGATAGATTCTATACAGGCTCAGAATCAAATTCTCTTTTAGGTCCTATGTGATGCAGTTTAGGGGTTCAGGGGTGCTGGGACCCCAAAATCATAATACGCAGGTCCTGCCCAAAAGAATTGGACCAAAGCCTTCTTTCAGCCAAAGACAAGGTTTATTGGAACATCCATCATATTGGGCAGACTCTTAAGGAGTCTGAACGTGGGTAAGCAGTGGTTAGATTATAAGAATCTAAGCAGTGGCTAGATTTTAAGAATCTGAGCAGTGGCTAGAGTATAAGAATCTAAGCCTTGGATAGATTTTAA